CGCAGACTTCCCTCTTCATTGTAGGTGAATATAAAATGCTCTTTTCTGGGCACAAACGGATTTGTCCTTCTGCACGATAACGCTGGCTTTGGCTGTGCCAGGACTATGTCACTGACACGACGAAGACTTCCTCTTTCTCGGACATAAATGGTGCTATTGTCCATAGTAAGGTCGCACTATTAAGGGCTGCACGTTAAGTCAGCAAAAACTCGAAGTAGCTCACAAGCTAGCTATTAAATAGTATCATGTCCTTGGCTAAAATTAGTATAAAAGGACACCCAAACCCTGCAGTTAAACTCTTTTACTACGTTTTTGCTCCAAATATTTCACATTTTACGGCATTTGCTTTACTACTTGTATGTAATATGACAAATATTCCGGGTTTCCTACGGTAGCCGCGGTTCCTACAGTGCAAGCAAGTTACTGGCAGCTGTGCCTGCTCACTTCAAAGTAAAATATGGTTAATAACGAATGCTTGTTTTATTAGGAACTTCTTACCAAATTGCGCATTATAAGTAACAAGAATGTAATATGAGAAAACGTGTACATACTTTATAATGAACCTCTCAGGATCTCACCAAGTAGTAGTTTAAATTAACAAAAATCCAAACCCTTATTTTGAAAATGTTTAGGAAGAAGTCCTGTTTACATCCTTGATCTAGCCTGCTCCCGGAAGTGCCAACGTATACGACAGAAATTAAGTGATTTTTATGGGTTTGGAAGGATAATTTGGTAATTGATTTTCCAAAGATGATAACTAAAACATATTTTAAAAAGACTGATACTTTTACTGGTTGTTTTTCTGTCTTAATCTGATTTTACATAGTTGTCAAAGTTGATGATCTGCTAAGTAAGAACTTGGTAGCTAACTCAGCTAACTCATAACGTCTTTTTCCTTTATTGGTTATAGTGTGCGAAGTCTTAATCATTCTCCATATCTTCCTGAGGTTAAGTTGTTGCCCTTGTGTGACAATTACTTTCCTGTGCGTTTGAGACGGACTTCGCTCTTCGAATCTTTGTAAATGGCGTCGAAACATGATCCGTTTCAATTTCAGGGTGAGTGTCAATCTTCCACTGTGTTATGGAAATGTAGTTGTTTATTTTTGTGAAAACTTTAAACTCACAAGAAGCGATCGTTGACATTTTGCATTAATCCATGTCAACTAACTAGAATTTGACGAAGCTGGCGATCTGTTGGAAGCCAACAGAGATGCAACTACCATCAGCATCGATGATGAAGATGTGAAGCCTAAGCAAAGCACTGCGACTGGTTTCTCCACTGAAGCTGATACTGAGGATCCACTTGCCAATGATGACCAGGCAGAGGTTAGGACAAGCCTTTGAATTTAATATATTTTATTAACTTTTAAGATTTAATTAAATTTTTCCACCAAATCCTTTAATTTAAGCTTCTCTCAGGGCAAAAGAAAAGTCCCTCTTTTTGGTCTTTTGAGTACTACCAAAGGTTCTTTGACATCGAGACCCATCATGTAAGTTTTTTTTTTCTAATGTATCCACTGACTTTTTGGCACCATTTTAGCTAGGTCTCATCAGATTCCATATTTAGTGGTTTCTAATATTTCTTTCAGGTAAAGGAAAGGATAATTGGATCAATGATGCCATGGCCCAGAAAGAACTTTATTAATGTCTACCTCCGTAGAAATCCTGATCTCTATGGTTAGCTCTTCATAGTTTTAACAGATATGTCTCAATCAGATTTTTTTTTGTATGACACTAGGTGTATTGTTCTTTGATGTTGTATTCTATTGGTAAATACTATTTTCATGGAAACCCCCAATAAGGAAACAACTTACATGTGTGTAACAACTGCTTTTAGGACCGTTCTGGATTTGCACCACTCTTGTGTTTGCCACCGCCATAAGTGGAAACATATCCAACTTTTTGGCCCACCAAGGCGATCGGGACTACAAATATACCCCAGAGTTTCGAAAAGGTTTGCTCCTCTTCACTCTCATATAGGGCTTTTCAATATGACCAAAATCTCATATCCCGATATGAGACATTTATCGTCCCGATATAAATCACAAAAATTTTACATTTTCTGAAAATTCTGTGAATCTCGGGCAGCTCGACTTGCGTGAAGTGTTTCCAGCTGGGCGTCCTTTACCTGGAGTCGAGTGTTTTAACCGATGCATGAAACGATACATTTTTAGACATAAGTTGTAACGGCCGCCGTTTTATTTGTGAGTATTTATTACACGGCGTCTTCTAACGTTTGAGTCTGTGGTTTATTTTTTTAGCGCCTGACTCCTCTTTTTTGCTTCTCATCCGTAAACACTCTGCATACTCTTTCACGTGATTCAGTTTATTTTAAAAAGTCTCAACAGGATCTTGAGCTTTATTGTGAAAGGTTTATGTGGAAAATAAAAGAGCGGACAAGCGATGGTTTTATCATCGTTGTTGCTAACGACAACGCATACAAACAGGCCAGTAGTGTGGTTATATTAAATATGAGAGAAAGAGAGAACTTTAAGAAATTAATTTAGCCACTATAGTGACCATCAAAACCATCAATGATCAAAGCGATGAAAAAAAATTGCCGTAAACAGTTTATTTTGCGACACCACGAAACAAACGATAGCGTAAAATGAAACGATAGACGTTTTTTTTATATCGTCACCCGATATATATCGTTATATCGAACAGCCCTACTCTCATACACGTTTACATTAAATATGGGAGGGAAACAGCCATTTCACACTGAGTTTTGATTCTTTATGTTTTCCAGTAACCATTGCTGCAACAATAATCTTCAGCTATGCTTGGTTAGTGCCTCTTGCCGTCTGGGGTTTTCTGCTATGGAGAAACAATAAAATGGTGAACTTGGTGTCATATGCCTTTATGGAGATTGTCTGTGTGTACGGCTATTCTCTTTCAATATATATACCTGCAGTGGTAAGAAATTTTGTTTTTTTGTTTTGTCTTGTGTTTTGTTTATTCATTTTAAAGTAGTAGTAACAAATGAAGCACTATACTAAATTTTAGGCATTTATATAACCCCCTAAAAGCAGATGCATATTTAATTACATGATTTGCTGGTTTCTAGTTTTTTAACTTTATTTTTCTAAATCAAGGTTCTGTGGATTCTCCCCTTTAACTGGCTGAGTTGGTGCACCATTGTGGTGGCACTCTGCCTCTCTGGCTCAGTACTGGTTTTGACTTTCTGGCCTGCAGTCAGAGATGACCACCCCAGAGTTATGATAGCATTCCTGTCTGTGATTGTGTTGCTCAACATCCTGCTGGCTGTTGGTTGTAAGGTAAATGTGGCTACTTTTGATATTTAATGACAAAATAGTATTTGTGCTAATCCATCTATTTCATAACGCTTATCCATCTGGATTTAGATAACAATTATTGACTCTTTCTAATTTATCCTCTTTGATGTCAGCATGGCCTAGTTTTGAACCCACCTCTCCATTCGCCATTCACAGATCCGATCACTTACACTGATATTTTGGCATTTGACTCCTCTGTGGGTTTTTGGGAAACAAATATACTTTATAGTGTCAAGTTGAATCCCTCTGGGGAGATGTGTTTCAGCGGAAACTATGACTACATTACTACATGGTGTGAGAAAGGGCTGCTAGTAAACTTCCTATCATGAATACTGTCCGGTCCTCAGGGATATCATATGTCCCACCACATTGAAGTAATTAGTCTTCAAACTAAGCCATGTCTGAACGCTTAACAAGATGAATGGCTTCCAGAAATCCTGTATTCTTTTCTCTACCCCTGAACATTTGCTTCACACCTACTCACAGTTTGGATTTCGTGCTTACCAGTTTCTCATAACATGTCTTTGCCCTGCCAGTACTCCTTTGCACAAGTTCTTTGACACTTTTTTTTTACTCATTTGGGTTTTCTTTTGCAGACCTACTTTTTTACTATGCCAGGGAACAAGACGGTAAAGCCAACAAATTCGACGACATGAAAGACTTGCATTGTCTCGAGGTACCAATAGTGACACAGAAGCTTTTTAAGCTTTTACATATACACTGAAAATCTGATATGTATTTATAATATGTATCTACATTGTGTTTATTTCATTTGTTGTTTGCATATTTACACTCAGTAGTGTCACAAAGGAGGACTTTAATACATTATTGACCCATTTTCGGAGCTTTGGCTCACATGTGTGTCATTTTGACCTACTAAATCTGACACAGGACTTCCTGTACATGATTTTGTCGTGCCAAGGCAAGTGTTATCCCCTTTTTGTCTTTTTCTTTTTTTCTTTGAAATTGCAGGCTCTCGTGTTGCCTTATTAGAGAGAATCAAGTTGCTGTGCTGATGAAGTCATGCAACGTCTGAATTTCACCTGAACTCGTACATCCGGTCTTAACACCTTAACCCCTGTATCCTGAGTGCGTGTTTGGATCAGCTGTGTGACATCTGAAAATGCACAATAATAGCAAGCGTGTGGGTTTTGTTTTCTTTTTACGGGTGCTGGATTCTAAACTTTATGCATATAAATGGAGTATGGTTTAAAACGACAAAAAAGGTATATTTTAGTATGACCTTTATACTTAAGTTACATTTTTAAATATTTCTATAACAACACATTTCATAACTGGTGACAGCATCGATGGCATGTATTTTTATATTCCTATAATGGGAAATGAATCATTTGTAAACAGAATTTTCTGTGTAAACAATTATAGATATGGTGTGTTAACCAACGACTAGCGTTATTACACTTGGAGCTGTTGTACGTTACTCTTAAGTTTCTACAAGTCCACCCAACTAATGCCAAAGACCTGTGCTAAATTTTTAAATGGTCATGTAAGTGTTTCTGGAATTAATTTGGTAATGTTTTTGATCGGAAGTGTGGAATTTATTGATTCATGGAGAAAAATAAAACATGGTTATTGTGGGAAATGCTGTATTTGAATGCCATTGTTTCTAGTTCATTGCAGATCTTTAACACAAACTGAGACAGGTTTCCTTATATTATATAACATAAGTAGTTGCCTAATTGTTTCTTGTCATGCCTGCAGAAAATTGATATCCATCCCAGGTGTCATAGGTCAAAAGTTAATATTAATTAAATACTAAATCTTATATAGTGCTTTTCTACTCAACTTGAGCACTCAAAGCACTTTATGCAACATATCTAATTCACACATTCATACAAGCACTTTTTTGTATGTCTAAGTGCTTTCTATCTAACAGTCATACTCTGAACTCTGGGTGGTTGCATTGGATGAATGCTTAAAATACTTCATGTGATTCTTCATTTTAGGCAGCCTTGAGTCACCCCGGCTTTCACGTCCATGTGCAACGTGACTCATTTCTTTGGGTTTCTAACTACTTTGTTTTCCAATACATGTCAACAATTGGAAATTTTAAATATTTAAAGAAGAGATTGTAACTAATAGGTATAAGATGAACATTTCAAAGAGATTAACTTTAAAAGTGAGCTGCTGCTACCGTTTTCCAGCTCATCCATCTAAACTGTCACGTGGTCGAGCAAACCGATAGAATCTATCGTATCACCGTTTGGATTCGCAGATCACCCGCAGTGGAAAATCTCACAGTATATATCCAAAGCTGACCACATGCAGGCACACGGTGTGTGGTCAGCACTTTACATTCAGTGAACCTACGTAAAGACTATGCTTAATATTTCCACTAATTAAGTAGAGCTACTTTTTTTTGGATTAATTAACAAAACAGAAAAAAAGTGTCACTTGAACCTTTGTCAAAGGGATGGTGGCGTCCTAATTAATGGTCATTCTAGCCCCAGCTTTGAGTTACACAGGAGCTGCCTGTCAAACAGGTAACCCTATTGGAGGAATGTCACCTGCTTCAGTCTCAGAAGTCTAGACAGCTGCACATACTTGTAGATTTATCAGCACAACACAGGAGGACTTGATTTGCTATTTGTTCTCATTTTTGGGGAATGCCTTTTAGTTATTTTTTATAGCTATAGACATATATAGATATATATTTTGACTTGAAGACCTTTCCATAGGATGGCCACTTCAAATGGCAAAGGTGAAAAAGTGTCCAAATTTGAGATGCTGAAACTTTTGGAGAAATGCAGGAAAGAAAGGGACGATGCCATGCACAAAGAAAGCGTTCTCAGAGAGAAGCTCAGGCAGTATGAGTCAAGGATGCGTTCAACAGAGGCTATGAAACAGAAACTGAAGACTCTGGCTCTGGACAACAGGGAGCTGAGGAAACAGGTGAAGGCTCTTCGTACTGAAATTGGACTTGAGTGCAGCCCTAAGTTCAATGGAAAGACCACCAAGGACATAATCAATGACTTGCATGAAAAAGAACGTGAGTGCAACTCCCTGGTGGAAAAGGCTGGAAAACTGAGTCTGACCATTGATGGCTTGACCTCAGAGTTGGCAAATACAGTCACCTCTAAAACACTTTTAGAGGATCAAGTACAGTCATTACAGCAAAATCTCAAGGATATGACAAATAACCAGCGTCGTCTGCTTAAGTTGTGGGAAGACAAGAAGTCCCAGAGGGAACAGCTTGCCCTCCCTGCAATAATACAGAAACCTGGACTGAAGCCACCCGTACATAAAGCAGTTCAAACCGACATGTCCATCAGTTCCGCCCAAAAGCTTCCAGCCAATGCTTTTGAGATAAAGCCATTTTCACGGGACAGTGACAAAAATACTGTTTTGGATAAACACAGTTTCCCATCTTACGGAAACGGCTATAGTCACGGAAAGAAAGCTTTCGTGCATGATGAAGCTAAAGGAATACAGAACTGACTTCACTGACAGCTACTGACTCTGCACTTGAGATGGCAACTAATTACTGGACTAATGTTACATAATGACTGAGAGTAAAATGAGACACAATTTTAAAGCTGATTTATGTTCTTGTGTAATTCCATCTTGTGACAATGTTGTTTTAATAGCATTTGCATAATTTAAACGTAACCTGATTTTTAGGATCGGTGAAAGTCGACCTTTCAGGAAAACATTTGTAAGCTGAGCTTAATGTAATGATGAAATTTAACGTAGTGTACGTGTGCCAGTCAGTGAGAATTTATATGTACAATATTTAGTTCAAGACCCAACGTTAAATCCATATACTGAATGAATATGAAACGCTGACAGCAGGCAGGAAGATGGACAGCTTTTAATCGGGGTCCTTCAGAGGTCCTTTGAATGCATGTGGCGCGATATGGGAAACTGAGGTGTAAATAGTTTTGATTGTCGTTTTCTTCTCAAAGAGAGGCATACATTTATCTAAACAACATGTTTTCTGCAGAGCAGAGTTGCTGGTTTATCCGCAAGGTGAGTGTTTTTCTTCTGACACCAGATGGCTATTTAGAAAGTGATTTTTCGTGTCTCCTAGCTTGCTAAACTTAGATCTGTTTATGCTAGCTTCTTTGAATGCAGCTAATGAACGTCTTCAGATTTTATTTATTTACAATTATCTTTAAAAGTGTTTACAGAAAGTTGAGAAACCGAGGTGCGAATGGAGGCTATTCAAATAAAAGAAAGAAACGCGAGCAAAGTAAAAGGGGAAAAAGTGTCTTTACAAATATGAAGTTAGTAACAACTATACAGATATGTAAGTTTCACACGTTAAATCCGATCGTTAAATAGCAACTTGAGTATAGCGTGTTTTCTGGTAGCAAAAACAATAAGGAAAATTAACTTCGTGATTATTTGTATTATTTGACTGAAATATGAAAATATTTGATTCACGCATGTTGTAAACATTAACGATAGGCATCTGCGGGCTCACACTGAAAGTATATAGGCCTCCGTAGTTTCTACCAAACAATGACAGAAAAAGAATTGCTGATGTTGAATTGAAATGTTTTCACTTATTTTAAATTTGTTACATTGAATGAAGTGAAGATGTCGTGCCAAAAATGGACTCATGTTTCTCTTTCTTTTTTCTTTTAAATTTATTTATTTATTGTAATGTCTGATATTTTGTTTTTATTGGAAAATAGGCTGTACTCAATAGGATTTATGAAGTCGTTATATATATGATAGAGAAATGACCTGTTTTTCATGTATCCTAATGACTCTGACTTATTGTACCTACAATGTGTTCTAGATTATAATCAATCCATTTTTTTTTGCCACCTAAATATATTTATAGAGCTGTTATGTTACTTTTGTTGCATTTATCCGTCCCCCTCTTGACCGGATCTGGCTTGAAAAGGAAAAGTTTAATGTCAGTAATTTTATTTTATTTTATTTTATTTTTTTAGCTGGGGAAAATAAAGAATATATAAAGTGACTTTTCCTAAAAATGATTTCAGCTTCTATCTTGTGGTAGGAATATTGTTTCCTATTCAAACTGATTTGATGTCTTTCATGCAAGATATGTCTGACAGATTATTGGACAATAAGTCATCTACAGTTTAAAGCGCTTTGGATGCCTTGTTTATAATGGAGCACTGTAATGAAAAATAATTTCCCCTAGGGATCAGTAAAGTATTCTGATTCTGATTGAAAAGCGCTATATAAATGCAATCCATTATTAAATATGAGTAACCTTTTTTTTGGAAGTTACCAGTAATCACTTTTACCCCTAATGTAACAGTCATTCAAAACCACTTTTAAGTTCATACCTACCTTTTCCTATAAAACAAGCCTAAAGGGAAAAACAAACAAACAAACAAACAAAAACAAACCAGCTACCTATATTCAACAGAAGCCACTTCATTGCATTATTAGCAAGACAAAAAACTAAATTTTGAACATAACACCTTTAACGAGGCATTAACAGTTCCACATGGGTATCACTCTTTGAGAAAATTGAATTGCAATGCAATATTGGGAATGTTTGCATCTTGGTTTCAGAATTTTACACCCCAGAAGATATTGTTTTAAATTACATGCTCTCTGGAGATTTCCTTTACAACCTGATTAGCACAGAACACGTTCTGTACATGAATGTGAAATTTAAGTAAGACAATTTAAAAAAAGGAAAAACAGACCTTTTCATATGGATTCAAATTTCTTTTTTTTCTTTTTTTTATAGCGTTGAATCAAGTGGTTATTCTTTCCCAATACTTGGTGATCAATAATGATGATGATGATGATGATGATGATGATGATGATGATGATGATGATAATAATAATAATAATAATAATACATTTTATTTGAGGCCACCTTTCAGAAACCCAAGGTCACCTTACAAAAGAGAAAAATTATTAAAAGGAGTAATAGTCATAAAATGCATAAAATAAGTAAAAATTGCAAAACAGAACTTGACAACAGATAAAATCAGCACTAAAGCGAATAAGCCAGTTTGAACAGATGTGTTTTGAGCTGTGACTTAAATGCGGGAAGAGAGTCTATATTTCTTATGGTTGGAGGAAGAGAGTCCCAGAGCCAAGGAACAAAGCCACCACTAAAGGCTCTGTTCCCCATAAGACATGCGGGCGGAACAGTAAGATGAATAGCAGATGAGGATCTGAGAGGGCGGGAAAGTGGTGATGTGAAGCGGGTCACACAAATAGGAAGGAGCAGATTTATGGATACACTTGTATGTGAGAAGTAAGATTTTAAAGTTTATCCTGGCTTCTATGGCCAACCAGTGAAGCTGCTGAAGAACTGGGGTAATATGAGCTCTTGACGGAATACGAGTTATGACCCGAGCTGCAGAATTTTGAAGAAGTTGGAGTTGATGAAGGGACCTTTTAGGGAGACCAAATAAGAGGGAATTGCAGTAATCAATATGAGACGTAATAAGACTATGGACAAGGATGGACTATATAATGTCTATAATGTAATAATGACTGCTCTGTTCAGGTAATTTGTTGGAGAGCTGCAGCCAGTATTGCTTGGGCTGTACTGTTGTTGCCACCCAGCACAGCAATTTTTGTGTTCCTCAGCAAGTTCAGTGTTCTCCACCCCATCCAGACCATATCAGGTGAGTCACCACGCTGCATTTTAAGATTACTCAGAGCTGTGTATGAAGCTTGCCTTACACTTTTTTTTTTAAATTCCAGAATGCTTCTCCATGCTAACAAGTGCAACTGCCATCTTCTCTTTCATCCTGCTGTGTGGAGTGATCATCATGGTTGGTTTCTTGAACTTTGAGTATTACACAGGTGAGTCACAGAGCACTGCAAAACTTCCCTAAAGATTTTCTTTACTACTAACATGTTACGTGGATAGATCATATGTAAATTTTCATTAGTGAAGCTGGAATTAATGTCACCAGTTCAGTGTTATGGTAGAGCTTATAATAAATAAAATGCTATCATTAGTTTAACAGAATTAAGTAATTTGATTGTGGACTAATGTTGTCTGTTAAATAGGGAATAGTTTGTTGAATGACACCACAACATGAAAAACACACATTCCTTCTCCCTTGGATAAAAAGATTAGTGTTATGTTTTTCTTTAAATTGTATAATAAAACAAAATGAAAGTAAAATGAGTTAAGTTTTACTTTCTTTTCAGGACAACTAAAATACCTGATTGTTTAGTACTGGTTCAACACATCCATGGGGCCAGCTATTACTTTAATAAGCTTTACTCAGGTTTTAAATGATAAGATAATATAATGGGTACTCCACTAAAAAATTGTCTATTATGTAACTTCTTTGTTGTTACTGTTTTTTCTTTCAGTCATTCCAACTATTGCATGCTCGAAAATCGCGCTCTTTGGTCAGCTTCTCCACCCTCGACAGCTTGTCAACTCCCTGGTCCACTGTATCATGGGAATGATTGTGGCTTGGTGTTCTGCCGTTACCATTGGATTTAGATACGAAACTCTTGGCCACCCGTGTGCGCAGACACATCAGATGTGTCTGAATGAATATCATCTCATCCTTCTGCTGGGTGGAGCTTTTGTTGGATTCTCTCACAGTCTGCTGGGTGTGATCCACAACATGAACTATGTCTCCTTCCATACTGTTCAGGTAAACAGTGGACTTTAAAATGTTCTTTGTTTATCTGTGATTCTGCCTCACATGTGACAGTGAATCAAAATTAGTATCCTGACTGCGAATAGCTCCAACATATTTTTCTGAGACAAAACAAGTAAATGAGGTGGCTGTAGCTCAGGAGGTAGAGCTGGTCACCTACTGATCCGAACGTTGGAGGTTCGATCCCTGGCTCCTCCAGTCTGTATGCCAAGTATCCTTGGGCAAGATACTAACCCCAAGTTGCTCTCCGATGCATCCATCGGAGTATGAATGTTTGTGAATGTGGTTAGATAGCACTCAGTTTGGGGTCAGTGCTTGTGAGAATGGGTGTGACTGGGTGAATGTGGCATGTTGTATAGAGCGCTTTGAGTACTCCTGGAGAGTAGAAAAGCGCTATACGAGAATCAGTCCATTTACCATAAAATCTCCCCCCCAAAAAAAAAAAAAAAAAAAATTTTTTTAAAAGTTGCAGCTGTCTAGTGTGAGTTAATATTTGTTGTTCATGTTCACATATTATTTCCCCAGCAATACAAATACCTTCGCTTCAAGGGATCTCTTCCTTTGGTGGTTAGGTGCAGTGCCACTCAGGCACTTTACTCTGTCAGGAACTTCATCGTTGTTTATTACTTTTTGGGTAAGTAACTTCCTTATTAATTAAAATACCATTAATGAAGCTTCACCCTCTCTATCTCTATATACAGTGGCTTGCAAAAGTATTCGGCCCCCTTGAACTTTTCCACATTTTGTCACATTACAGCCACAAACATGAATCAATTTTACTGGAATTCCACTTGAAAGACCAACACAAAGTGGTGTACACGTGAGAAGTGGAACGAAAATCATACATGATTCCAAACATTTTTTTACAAATAAATAACTGCAAAGTGGTGTGTGTGTAATTATTCAGCCCCCTGAGTCAATACTTTGTAGAACCACCTTTTGCTGCAATTACAGCTGCCAGTCTTTTAGGGTTTGTCTCTACCAGGTTTGCACAGCTAGCGACTGAAATTCTTGCCCATTCTTCTTTGCAAAACAGCTCCAGCTCCGTCAGATTAGATGGACAGTGTTTGTGAACAGCAGTTT